GGTACATAGCCGATCATTAGAGATAGGTTGATCATATTTAAGATCGAAGAATTAATTAATGGCAGGACTTCTTTGAGTAGTTTTGTAGGAATGGGGTCTAAAAGACACGTTGATGGTTTGGAAGACTGTAACAGACAAACGTTCCCCTTGTGGTCTGAGGAGGAAGCACACACTGTATCCTGCCAGGTAACATCAACTGAAGCGTGGACAAACGTATATTACAAGTAAAGGATGGCATTAAGAGCTGTCAGTCAACAGCAACCATACTGCTGTTCAAATGAGTCCCTGTAGATTCCTGTAGGAAGGCGTCTGTGGTGCTTGTGATCTCCTGCCTGGACTAATGCAGCTCTACCCTGCTACACGCCACTGTCCTGGTTCTGACGTTTAAAGAAAGAAGTCAAAGAAGTTACAAACCTGCATGAGACGTGGCTGTCCTCCAGCACTGAGAGGCCTGCAAGGGATGGTGGTCTTCTCCGTCACTCTCAGCCACTTTTCTCTCACTGACCCACCCCCGTCCATGATGCTGTCCTCGGATTCACTCTCCTGATCCTTGCTGGTGGGATTTTCCTCCTCTGGGATATGAACTAGCTGAGAGGATCCAGGTCGGGACTGGATAGATACTCTGGCCCCACCAGTCACTGCAGTGCTCCCATTATGGGACAGATGATTATGATTGGCCATAGGAACAGAGCTAGCTGCTAGTTTCATGTACTGAACTGGGATGTGCGCCCCAGCACGCAGCTCAGCTTCCTGGCCTGTGGCTATAGGCAGGTGGGTCCCACCGCGGAGCTCCACCTCCAGACCCATGGCAGACGGCTCAGAGGAGCAGCGCAGCTCCATGTTCCTCTGAGGAGACGAAGAGGAGGCTGGCCTGATACCGTCTATCACCTGCAGAGACAGCTTCCTGTTGTCGTTCTTGTTCTTCCATTGGCTGAGCAGCTGTTTGGACCGGGTTGAGTCCATCGAGGCGTGGATGGAAGCGTGACGCCGTGGAATACGACCTTCCTCCAGCGAGGAACCTCCGTGGGATCTGAAAAGAAAGATAAAGGCACTATGAGAAGAAAGAAAAGAGTGACAGCACTGAGCTCATGATCTTCTTTGCTTAATCTTCACAAATGACTAATTGATTTTGGTAAATATAATTGTTCTGTCAAATTCATAAACTGAAAGCACAAATGCCCAGTTAGCGTTCTGGTAGAGCAGCCTTCTGTTATCTTTGTGCCCATGAACATTTCCAAACATGTTATGGTGTTGTTTAAAGTCTGGACATTTCTAATATAACACAGCATCACAATTTAATTCGAAACAACCCCCCACCAAAAAAAAAATAATTCAGCACTGTATGGATACTCAGAGGACAGAAACCTGGGCACTGGCATTCATGTCGCTGTCCAGCGGCAGCCCCAGTCTCCCCAGTAGGACGATGTACTGGATGCTGAGGTTACTGGTTCCACTGTATCTGACAGAACATCCAGAGAGGAGAACAGCAGCGTGAGCCACATAACAGGGAGCATGCAGAGGCCCGTGGCCTGCATGCAGCTGTTCTTCATGTTGCACATGTGGCTCTTGTGTTTCTGTGGCGCTCTGTGACTCTTACCAGCTCTGTTTCTAGGGCTCAGTGCTTCTGCTGCGTTTTGACTGCCTTTTTGCTGTTCTGAGGTCAGTAGGAAAAAATGGCAGTCATAAAGAATCAAATGATTTTTTGTTGTGCAGCAAGCAAGTGTTGCCGTCAAAAAAGGAGCAGGGCATCAAATTGTTCTGTGACTGCTTTCAGCGAAGGCATTTTAAATGAAGTTAGCTCAGGAAGTAGATAACACACTCGTCTGAAGTGCGAGGCCACATCTTCCCGAAGATCAACCCTGCAAGCGATACTGTCGTGGTATTCTTAGTCTTCGTGTGTTTTGTATTTTGTTCTTTATTCATGCCTTGGTTCCTAGGTTCTGTTAAGATGTTCCTTATTTGGTTCCCCCCTGTGTGCCCCTCTGTGTATCTGTGAACCCTTGTTTCCCCTCCTTGTGTTTTATTCCCCAGCCCGTTATGTCCGTGCTCTCTCCTCCTGTCTGAACCTCTGTGCACTTCCTGTTTTACTTTGACAGTCTCTCGTCAGTGTACGTCATGTTGTGTTCACTCCTGCCCTGTCTCGTTACGATTATCTGTGTCAGCTGTGTTCCAGATGTGCTCCCACTTCCCTCGTTTCCCCTCTGTGCATTTATGTCTGCGTCTCCCTCGGCTCAGTGTCGCGTTCTCCCTCATGCTGTGTGTGACTCTCCCTGTGTTTCCTGGTGAGCTTTATATTTAGTTTTTCCCAGTTTAGTTTTGTATTACTCGTGATCCGTCTTTCCAGCAATAAAGCTGTGCTTCCTGAGTTTATTCCCCGCGTCCCCGTGAGTTTTGCGTTTGGGTCCTCTCCTGCCTGCCACACAGCCTAATCATGACAGACTGCACAACAAGCCTGTGTAGAAATGTAAGGAAAGTACAGATTTTTGCCTAAATATAGGGAGTAAAAGTAACGTTTGCAGAAAAATATATACT